GAGGAGGGATCTCCTTTCTCAGAGAGGGGGCACCCTCTGGCACCCGCGTCCAGACTGGTGGAATCTCCACTTGTGGTCCCTGGACGGGATGCGGAGGTTCTAGGTGGGCTACCTCCAGCGGTAGTAAACACCATCACGTCAGCTAGAACCCCGTCTACCAGACACGCTTACAGGCTGAAGTGGAACCTGTTTGTCGATTGGTGCTCTTCCCGGCAAATAATAAATATATAAAAGCTTGATGGTTTAACATTTGAAAATGATTTAAGACAACCATCAATATTAGTATTGTAACATTTTATATTTGTTAGCGCTGCTCACGCTGAATTAGTGACAATGCATCGTTTTTGGTCAAAATACATGTGTTAGCATGAAAAATGTCAGGTTTGGAATGATTTGAGTGTGAGTGAATTATGCAAGAATTTAATTTTTTTGGGTGAACTATCCCTTTAAGTGCAAATTCTGGGCAATCTCAGATGCTTTCAGTAAACTGGGATCTTGATGGTTAAGAAAGTGGTTGATTTGGGCAGCGTCTGTGTTGTTGTGGAGTGGAGCTGATCTCGGGGTGCAGTGATGTATGTGTTTGTTGTTCTCTGGGCACGTGAGGAGAATCCCACTGGGCTGGAACCATATTAGAACCTCAGCACTCAAGCTTATCTCATCTGATAAGGTGCACAGAGACACGAGCGAGAACGAGAGCTCTCTAATGCACTTCTTCACTGATAGAGGAGCAATAAGGAGGGGAGGGGAGAAGATGGTACGAGAGTGGAGGAATAAGGAGATGAGAGGTCTTCTGTTTGACCGAAAACTAAATTAAATTAGTAAACTGTGTCTAAAACAACCACATATCTACAAAAAAGGCCTTGGAACATCTGATCCAGTGTTGCAAAAACGGACATGTAAAATTAATGTCGTCCTTCAACAGTAACCAGATTGTGAGAGACAAAATACATTTTGATGCAAAAAGACTGCTGCTGTGGGCCGCCCATTTGCCTATAATGGGTAATTTGATCATCTTTGGCTGAATTTAGCTAGACAGAAAATAATTCAAGGTCCAAATAACCTACAATATGTTCCTTTGAGAGTAGTAAAAAGTCATTTACCTCCTCTCGTAAATCAATGAATCCAATTTCGAAATCTGGGCTGTTGGAAAACCTTATCAGTGACCTGATGCAAAGCGAGGTGTGAAGAAAACTCACTGAAACACCTCACGCTCGATCAACAACTTTCCAAATCAATCACATTTGCTGATTGTATTTTCTGTCATGCATTTATGCCAACAATCCAGATTTTTAACACCATGCAGATGCTAAAAAGATTGCAAGACTTTTTGTTTTTTCCCCTTGGCTTGGTGGTTCACGCACCAGAGGCCAAGATATAAATGTTATAAGCACTCTTAAAGTAATAGTTGATGCAAAAATGAAAAGATGCATTTTTTTGTTTAAATTTTAAACTACCATTTACTTTTGGCATCACTGACATCAAACCTGTCAAGGCATGTTTGATGAATCTGTATATGAATAAGACTTTGAGAATGAGAAATCATTGTTTACAATATTCATTGTATTAAAGCAACTCAAACATTCTGCTAAACTTCTCATTCTTTTGTTCCATGGAAATCATGGGTTTGAATCATTATTATACCTGTATTAATATAATTCTGCAACATTTTTTAAATTAGAAACTTGAAAAAATTGAAAAATTATAAGTTGATGTGGAAACTAAGCTGCAAAACAACATTTTTTAAATTTAATTTGTTAAAAAGACAGATGCATATTTAATAATAAAAAAAAATTTAAATTAAGAAGTTATTTTTTTACATTTTATTTTTAATATAATTAAAAGGATAGTTCACCCAAAAATGTATTAAAAACATTAATTACTCACCCTCATGTCTTCCAAACCCATAAAATCTCTGTTCATCTTCGGAACACAAATTAAGATATTTTTGATGGAATCTGAGAGCTGTCTGACCCTCCCATAGACAGCAAGGGTCCTTACACGATCAACGTTCAGAAGCGTAGCTAGGAGATCTGTAAAATAATCCATGTGACATCAGGGGTTCAACCTTAATATTACGAAGCTACGAGAATACTTGTTGTGTGCAAAAGAAAAAAAAAATAGCGATTTTATTTCAATTTTATGTCACTCTAGCGCCATTTTGGAGAGTATCCACTGAACGCAAACAGTGTAAGCTGTTCTCAGAATCAGAATCAGAATCAGAATCAGAATTAGCTTTATTCGCCAGGTGTGCAAACACACAAGGAATTTGTTGTGGTTTTTTACATACACATCTGACATGAGAACAGAAAAAAACTAACCAAAAAAAACAACAACAAAAAACTACTTTTAAATAGTAAAACTTAACAATAAATAATGTGTATGAATCCGGAACAGTAGATTTAAGAAACAGTAGGGGGGATGGAGGGGGAGGGTGTTGATGGCTGTGCTGTGAGACAGTCGGAGTGGGTGTGGGGTGTCAGATCAGGCTTTTGCTTTTCAAACCTGCAGTAGAACTCGTTCAGGTCTTCAGCCAGTTGTTAATTGGCCTCAGTGCTGGGGGATGGGGTCTTGTAGCGGGTGATGGCTTTCAGGCCTTTCCACACTGATGTAGAGGCATTACTTGAAAGCTGTTTTTTTAGCTAGTTTATGATCAGAGAGTCCCAGAGCTGCTCGGGGGACAGAGTGGTATGCATCTTTTAAAACAGTGTAGCAGTGGTCCAGTATATTGCTGTCTCTGGTAGGGCATGTGATGTGCTGTCTATATTTAGGCAGTTCACGGGTGAGATTAGCTTTATTAAAATCACCGAGAACGATAATGAAAGAGTCCGGATAACGCTGCTCTGTGTGAGTAATTTGATCGGCCAACAGTTCTAGTGCGGCGCTCACTCGCGCGTCAGGAGGAATGTATAGACTCACCAGAATAAACGAGGAAAACTCCTGCGGTGAATAAAAAGGCTTACAGTTAATGAAGAGAGCTTCCAAATGTGGGCAGCACATCTTCTTTAAAACTGTCACGTTTGTACACCAGCCTTCATTGATATAAAAACATAATCCACCGCCTCTCGTTTTCCCCGATGACTCGGGGATGCAGTCCGCTCTGAACAGCTGGAAGCCCGTTAGATGTCTGTCCGGGATGGCTCCGTTCAGCCAAGTTTCCGTGAAGCAGAGTGCAGCGGAGTTTAAAAAGTCTTTGTTTGTGAGGGTGAGGAGTTGTAGTTCGTCTGATTTATTTGCTAGGGAGCGGAGATTCACCAGATGAATGCTCGGCAGCGGAGTCCTAAAACCGCGTTGTCGGAATTTCACGAGCGCACCGGCGCGTTTCCCTTGCTTGCGTCGCCTGGAGCGCTTGTATAGGAACGCAGCTCCTCCGACTAAAATGTCCTGTAAAACATCCGAATGCTCAAATGTCGGCAGAAAGTTATTTGGTGTGCTATTTCTGATGTCCAGGAGTTCGTTCCTAGTAAAGCTGATTGGGAAAAAAATGCTTAAGACAGGACAAACAAACAAAAAAAGTACAAGTACCAAGCTATCCGCGGCGCCATCGATGGTATGGGAAGTTCTGTGTCAGTTGCGCCACGTGGATACATTTTCTACATTGTTTGTGCTTTGATTCGAATGAAAACAACATATCCGCGGTGCAGCTGACACAGAACAACATATGCTGTTTGCGTTCAGTGGATACTCTCCAAAATGGCGCTAGGCTGAAGCGGAGGAGACGAATTGTTGAATAAAGTCATTATTGTTTTTTTCTTTTGCGCACAAAAAGTATTCTCGTAGCTTCGCAATATTACGGTTGAACCCCTGATGTCACATGTATTATTTTACCGATCTCCTTGCTATGTTTCTGGAGGTTGATCGTGTAAGGATCCGTGCTGTTTATGGGAGGGTCAGAGAGCTGTCAGAATGCATCAAAAATATCTTAATTTGTGTTCCGAAGATGAACGGAGGTCTTACGGGTCTGGAACGACATGAGGGTGAGTAATTAATGACATAATTTTCATTTTTGGGTGAACTAACCCTTTAAATTATATTATTATAATTAATATATTAAAACAATCTACCTTAAAATGCTAAAAAAAATTTACATTTGTTTACACGCACACACACACAGTTCTGTTAATATTATACATGATAAATGTTGAATATTTGTATTAAATATGGTCCAGTTAATTGTGAATTACATGGCCACTAATGCTTAAAACTCAGATGATCTCTTAGGATGTGCTTGATATTCCTTGTTATTGTTGTATGCTTATGGAGCATTGTATCAGCATATGAGAATCAAGCAAAAACCTGACAGTTAGGGTTTCTATAATTGTATCCTACTGCCATCTACTGGCCCATGCGCCTGAATGCAGCTGTGTAGCACCTGCGTTTTACTCATTTGATCTCATCTGTTGAAACTAATGCACACTCTAATTACAATTCATGAGAGGAATATGACAATCTGGGCTTGGCCCACAGAATTTGGCTCAGTGTATTGATACTGATCAGAAATGACAGCAGCACCATTCCAGAACCACAGACGGAGAGAAATCACAAACAGCACAACCAGAGACTGAAACACGGCATGCGAAACGTCCTACCACATGAAACAACGCTTATCTAAATATAAGATTCCTCTCTGAGATCCAGATTTATTTATAAACCACTCAAAGATACAGATAGAAAATATTTACAGCATACACATTACAAAAGAACATGTCACAAGGATAACAAAGCGTTTAAATGCAGCTGATCAGGGTGATTTCAAAAGAACTGTTTAACACCTAATAGAGAGGTTATCTGAAAGGCTATGTAGGTTTTAAAACATAAATAAATGAATAAATATGGCACTTAAGATGGCACTAATGTAGTGCATCAGAAACCATCCCTTTTTAGGGATCATTAAAGGCATAGTTCACCCAAAAATAAGAAATTAAATATATAAGAATTTTTTTTTGTTATCATTGTCTTATTTAATTTCAAAATTATATGACTTACTTCCTTCTGCGGAACATCAAATAATTTTAATTAAATGTTTTTAAGGATGTTCTGGTAGCTCTTTTTCATGCATTTACACTGAAAGTGGATTTCAAAAAGGACTAAAAAAGTAGTTTATACAACTGGCTCTATTAAAAAGAAATTCTCTTTTTTGTGTTTCACAGAAGATAGAAAGTCATACAGATTTGGAATGAAAGAAGGGGATGAAAAAAATGACTAAATGTAAAAACCCTTTATGAGCGAACAATTCCTTTAACACAAACAGAACTATTTCCTCATAATGGGCACCCTCATAAATGAACACACACACACACACACACACACGCTATGGTACTGTGGACATGATGCCACATTCTGTTTTGGCTGTATGACATTTTCCTCTGTGCAGTTCCTCAACTCTCTCAAGTTCTCCAGACAGCCTCAAGTTTAGTTTGTGTGCTTTTTAAACATCCATTCAGCACTGTCTCTGGTCTGGCTCATTGTCGTGCTCAGCTCGTATGCTGCTGTAAACATTTATGTTGTGGTCTGAAGGATGCCAGACGTGTGTTTTGAGAGTGTTTCAGCATTGCATGCTCATGGTGGGCTCACATATCCACATCCCCATCATACGCCAGAGCCAGTGCCTTCTGTGGACTGCTGCTGGGACTGTCCTTCGGGTTTTTACTGAAACGCAAAACATACAAGCATACTGTATGTGTAAACTCACAACAACCTTGCGTCATAATTTGCTGCAGTTTAAACTATCACCACTAGAGCGCAGAACATACGTAGCCATGTTTCCTATATGAGATTTACTAATTAGGGAGATTTATTTTTTTGCCTTAAAACATATGCCAGTTGTTTATTTTAGAGATAATGTTCAGTCAGGCAGTCATTATGGCAAAATAAACTGACGGGAGGGTGATTAGGACCCTGATTGTTTTATTATGTGAGAAGAAAGAGAATGATAGAGTTATATGAAGAACATTAAACTAGTACAGCCATGTAAAAATCAGTCTCACCACAGGAGGAAGGACATAATGATGAGGAGGAGGATCACGACAAACCCGGCCGCCATCAGCCCATATACCCACAACTTGACACGACCATCTGTCAAAATAAACAGTAATGCTCACAAAGTACAGCTTTTGTAAATCATTCTGACTTGATTCTGGTTGAGAAAACTGACTCTTGACCACTAGTTGTCAATCAAACAACAGAATAATAGAGTGCTGCAAAGATGACATATTTTTGAAGGCTAAAACTCAGAAACGAGTTAGTATTTTAGCATCGTCCTGACGTCAATGGTTTTATTGAATGTGTTTTTGGTTAAACGTTTGAAATAAGCTCAAGATATTTTCACATCTTATTCCACAACATAAAATACATCAGTAATACCTCATTGTGATTTTTTAGAAGCTTTAACTTATCTTGAAAAAGGTGGTTGATAACAATTGGGAAAACAACAGAAGTTGTCGGGACATTAAATTGGTTAACTCCCATGTCCACACGTACACGGGTATTTTTATATAGTATTTTATAGTTTTTCCTTCCGTTTTAAAAAAAATCTCTGTCCACATGAAAAACGCAAACGCATGCTATGAAGCACTGTCAAGAGCATGCCAAACCAACAGGTGGCGATATAATCTCAACCGTAAAGCCATGTTGGCCAATCAGAAGCCTGAAAAAGTTTCCAGTAGGCGGAGATAACAGCGCAGGCTCCGATGTCACAAGCCAAAAACTCCAGTTTCGCCGTCTACACGATAACACTGCAACCGGAGTTTTTGAAAATCTTCAGCCTGTCAGGCGTTTTTAAAAATGTTCGGTTTCAGTGACCTGGTGCTGCGTTTTCGTGTGGATGAACGGCCAAACTGCGTAGAAAAAGCTGCGGTGAAAAGCTGCGGAAAAGCTCGGTGGTTCCAACCCTGGTCCTGGAGGCACCCCAACACTACATGTTTTGCATGACTCCTTAATCAAACACAGCTGATTCAGGTCATCAGCTCATTAGTAGAGACTCCAAGACCTGAAATTGGTGTGTCAGAGAAAGGAGACATGCAAAATGTGCAGTGTTGTGTGCCTCCAGGACCAGGTTTGGGAACCACTGCGTTAACTCATCGACTCGCTAGTCTGCTTTTACAGCCTCATTGTGTTTCTAATCACATTTTTGAAAACTATTCCAAGTCAAACTTTAAGGGAAAAGGTTTTTTAAAGGTTACATATCATGAAAATCTGTCTTTTTCTGAGTTTAAGTGCTATCAATGGGTCCCCGGTGCATCTATCAACCCAGAAACCGTGAAAAAGAACAACACAGTAAATTTTTTTGGTAAGCCTTTCTCTGCAAGTGTGTGAAAAAAAACGAGTGCGTCAGATTTAGCTCCCCCTGTGATGTAGAAAGGGGATCTTATTATAATATTACCAACCCTTAATCTGTAAGTTTCCACCCATGGCGCAATCATTTTGTTTTTGCAAGCGACAATAGTGCACCAGTTCTGATGCAATGGCGAAAGTTCGAGCACAGCATGCTATTGCTAACTGTTCTGTCTTTGGCTGCACCGATGAGCACAGAAACTATTTAGAGTCCCAGCCTCAGAGGAGACAAGAAAGCAGTGATTTATTGATTTATTTACTGTATATTACGCTGCTGCCACACAGATCTGATATAAACATGTAATTTCTTTCCCAGCTGTTTACCTTCACAGACATGTGTGTTTTTAACATAAACTTGTATGTACTGGACAGTTTAAGCGCAATAAGACATTAAAGATAACTAAGTTCAGTACTCACATGATATAATAAATGATGTGTGGGGTATTTTGAGCTGAAACTTTACAGACACATTCTGGGGACACCTTGAGACTTGTATTACATAGTGTAAAAAGGGGCATAATAGGTGAACTTTAAATAAAGACTTGTTGAAGCGTTTATTGAAAGAGACTGAAAGAGTTGCTGGAAGATTAATGGCGGTGAGGTTGAAATCATGCAACCATGGTGTAGTTTGTTTATCTTTCGTTTAGTTTTTTACTTCAAAATCCTATTGGGAACCAGGGTGTGCTACAGCATGCTAATGCATAATCATAGACTTTTGTTGGTCACAGAGTTTATTTTCTACAACAATTCAAAAGCTAACAGAAAGAGTGATGGGTGATGCTAATTTCAAGGTGGCCTAAAAAAAAAAAATTGCAGCACACTTTAGGAAAGCATATGGGTGTTGGTAGTACCTGGTCCAAGAGGCTGCAGTGCCCAGTCCTTAATGTGGTTCTTGTTCCGGGCGTGCTCTGGTCTAAGACGGCCTGCGGTGGTCTTTACATCTGCCTTCTTATGGTCCAGCCCTGGGATTCTGGTACAGTAGTCAAGGAACCCGTGAGAGGTCATGACCTCCGTGAAGCCCTTCTCACAACCACAGACTCCATTCTGACCGAAAGATGGAGAGCGTTTATGAGAGCCATCATCAGAGTGATAGGGCAGCATGGTGACAGCTGGATACTGAGATTTGCTACGTTCCACATATGAGACATACAGTTGTTAATTGCATGGCGTTAGAGGGTGAGATTAAGTTGTGTTATGCGATAATGAAGGTATTTACATCTCACCATAATAGACTGCCAAATGATACCACACTTTATAAACTCTCAGCATCTGTCATTACTAATTTTCATATTAAAATAGGATTCACTGTTGGTAAATGTTACATTATTATAATTAAGGCACTGTGATGTTACCATTATCCAAAACCATGGTTTAACAGCAGCTGTATTATCAAAAGTGTGACTCTCAAGAACATGTCACTATCATATTTCACTTTCCCTATTTCATACTTAGAAATAACAACAGTAACAACAACAGCAACCATTATTATTATTATACATATCACAACCATCCCAGTTGTTACTGTAATGAAGAAATATTCTCATTCATGTAATATTTTTTTTAAATGGTTAGTATTACATTTATGCATTATAGCAATGGATCTAACCAGATGAGAATCAAAATATCCATACACATTAGAGTATGGAAGGAAGTGTTATTTTAGTATTATTTATATTATACTGTTATAGTATTTATTAATAATTTGAATTGGCCTATATTTTCTTATGTTCCATATTCCATTTTTAGTAATTTTGTTATGTGCTTTTGTCATTTTTATTAGTTTTTTGCAGATATTTCTATAGTTTTAATTAATTTTATTTCAGTTTTAGTTCTAGTAATTTTAGTACTTATTTCAACTTATTTCAGTCAGTTGCAAAGGCAACATTTATGAATTTCATACATTTATAAATTTCATATAACATTTATTTCAGCTTGATTTCAATTATGACAATGATTTTTAATCACTTTAGTTTTAATTAACAATAACTATTTACTGGGAGGAAGGAGAGGAAAATGCGCTTAATTTTCATAAAAAATTAAATTTGTCACAATGCAATAAAAAAAGGTCCTTTTATATTTTTGGGATGAAATTGGACCTGGACATTCTTTGTGAGATTCCCCCAATAATGAATGAGATTGTGTGTTGACAGTGTTCTGGGTGTCACCTGTGTGCAGAAGGAGAAGGGTTTGGTGCAGGGAGGGTGACACTGTCGTATGGCTGAGGGCTGGTTCTGAGCAATGCAGCCTCCTAATGTAGAGAAACACTGATTACATTTGGCTAAAATTAAAATCTGAGATTATGTTTTCGCAAGTCCTTTCCACGCCTAAAAAAAGCTATGCAATAAGATATGAAGTTGATTTTTAATGATACTATTTTGAGAATTAATGCATTCTTAATGCAATAGTGCACACCTGTGACATTGACACCATCAGAGCGCTGGCACCACACCAGTCTACGGTTATGCCTCCATTCACCAGTCATCCATTCATAACTAAGACACGTTCCTCCTGGAAGAACAGACAGAAACACACTAGCGTGCTTTTCTGGTTTAGTGGCTGAACAACACTCCCTGTCTATCACTTCTTCATCTTGGAGCTTTTTCTCAAAACAGCTAGAGAAGAAATAACAGCTTGGCAAAACAACAGCTTGGAACTGTCCAAGGCGAAGAGAGAAAAGGGGTTTATTTGTTCAAACAAATAAACAAATAAATAAAAATGTATATATATATATATATATATATATATAACATTAGAAGTAAATTATAACTGATTTAAAAAAAGATTTTGGTGAACTATTCCTTTAACTTCTTTAAAAAAAAAAATATAAAAATATATATATATATATATATATATATATATATATATATATATATATATATAGTGTTCTTTTAAACATGGAGGACTGGTACTTTAGCAATATCTGTCAATCAAAATGTTGAGAATAAGTATGTTCATGACAAACAACAACAACAACTTTAAACCTTAAATTTTACTTTATTTCACCTTGACAATGCATTTTACTGTTTATTTGTACTTAACTGCTTTTTCACACAAAAAAAAAATCTTAATTTTTATTTATAATTATATACGTTTTACAAAAAAAAAAAAAAAATACTGTTCAAAAGTTTAGGGTCTGTAAGATTTTTTACTGAAGTCTCTATTTAATGAAGTCTCTTTTAATGAAGTCCATTATCACCAAGGCTGCATTTATTTGTTTAAAATTATAGTAAAAATGTAATACTGTGAAATATTATTACTGTTTAAAACAACTGTTATTTATTTGACATTTTAAAATAATTTATTATACCTTTAAATCATTTATTCTAAATAATTTATATATTATTTAACAGTAATTTATTCCTGTGATGGCAAAGCTGAATTTTTAGCAGCCATTACACCAATTTTCAGCGTCAAACTCAAACTCAATCAGACGGCTTGGTGTGTTTCTCCTGTACGGCTTCCCACAAACCTCGGCATGGTCGTGTCTCATACATCTGGCTGGGACAGGTGTCCTGGTTCTCCGGGACCTGCGTGACTATGGCTCTAGATCGAGCCTGTCGGCCCCATGTCTCAAAACTCCGCCCATCCAAACACAGCAGCTGACACAAACTCCATGGTGACCATTTGGTTAGGTGACATTCTCCTGACATGCGAGACAGAAATTACAGCCAATGAGCAGTTGCCTAAAGCTCCTCAAGACATATGTGATTAATTAAATGCGAGTAACCCTGTCCTTATCCCTAATTAACCCTTCATTTAGATAAATGTCACCATTAAGTAGTCACTGTGTAATTATTTAGCTTTGTGTTTTGTGAGATGCAGACCTGGACAAGGGATTGTGCAGGGCTGCGGTAACTCCATCTCGCTGACTCTGCTCTGTGAATTTCCCACACACATTTTATCCTCTACTGGAACGGACTGAGGAGGACCTGAAAGAGAACCCCAGTGCACTACACAGGATATTTCCCTCCGACTTTCTCCCTCGCCACAGTCGGCCCCCTGCAAACAGAGAGAGAGAGAGAGCGATTACAGACAGAGCGGAAGAGAATTTCAGCTGTCTGTCACCTTCATGATTAAAAGATCGAAAGATCAAGATTGCAATGCTATTTTGGGCTGTTGAGATGTATTATTCATTTTCTGTGCGCTGCTGAAATATATCAGGACATTTTTCTAGATTCTGTTATTTAGAAAGTGTAAATCTGGTGGGTAGAAAGAAACCGCTCCAGATTTAACCAATATAAAATTGGCTCTCAACACTGTGAGGAGGCCTCCGCTAAATGATTCACAGCTAGAGAGTGTTTCTGATCGCTTGCTGTTCTGATTGGCTAAAGAAGTGTGTTGCTCCCCTGACTAATTTTTTATTTTGTAATTATATACTTTACAGTTGCATATTTTACACCTCAAAAAATATTTTTTACTTCACTTGTACTTATTAAATTTTTTTTTTTAACTAAAAGTGAATCTTTGTTTTCATTTATAATGATATACTTTTTAGGTCAATTTTTACTTTTGTATTTTTTTGCTGACATACACTACCATTGAATAGTTTGAGATTGGTACGTTTTTTTTAAATGTCTTTGAAAGAAGACTTATGCTCACTAAAGCTGCATTTATTTGCTCATATGGTACAAAATATTACTACAATTTGAAATTATTTGATTTTCTATTTGAATCTATTTTAAAATGTAATTAATTCCTATGATGCAAAGCTGAATTGTCAGCAGCAATTTCTCCAGTCTTCAGTGTAACACGATCTTTCAGAAATCATGCTGATTTGCTGTTCAAGAAACATTTCTTATTATTATCAATGCTGAAAATGCTTGTGCTGTTTAATATTTTTGTGAAAACCATAATACATTTTTGTCAGAAATAGAATAGAAAGTTCAAAAGTACATTTCTTTGAAATATAAATCTTTTCTGTCACTTTTGATCAATTTAATGCATGTTTTTATTTATCTAAATGTTTTAGTTTCTTAATTCCCCCCATACTGTATGCTTTTAGTTGTGAAATGAATCAGTAGGGGACAAAAACATTTGTGAATAGGGTTTTGCCATTACTGACTTTAATGTGATGCCACACCTAAATAAAGATCTGAGATTAAGAAATAGAACTCTATCAGGGCTGTTCATAACGGCACAGCGTGGATGATTTTATGAGCTCAGGGGAAACCCTGAAATGATGCATTCACTTTGATGGTTTAATGGAAAGCAGTAGCCTTCAGCTATGTGAATTTCTTCAGTCTGTTCATTTGTGCATGTAAAGGACAACGTCTCAGCAGCAGCGGCTGTTGTTTGAGTTGAACTCAATCAGGTGTACTGCATCAATACTACCTCCACCCTGCATGCTCTCCAGTCCCCCAGTATCCAGCTGTAGCACGGCCTGATGGGACAGGGGCGAGTCTGGGAGAGCTGAGATGGACAGGGACGACCCCCTTCACCGGCAGGCTGCAAAACAGCCCTGGATCGTGTCATTTGGCCTGGAAAATGTACATACAACAAGACAAAAACGCATGGGATCAGAAGCTAAAGTCCAGTGTGAGAACTGTTTGCATGCTGAAATCTAATAAGCACTCTGGGAAGAGTTTACTCGTGGGACCGACAGAGCCTTGAATTGAGATAAATGAGACTGATAAAAGCTTTTAATTAAGCCCCTAACAACAGTCAAGTTCAAGGAAGCATGACTGAACTCTCAAGGGTGTAAACAGCTGTGTGCTATCTTTGCAAAAATACTAGATTCATTTTTACAGGCCCGTGTTGAATTGGTAAGCACCCCTTATGTTTTCATAAAAAAATAAAGTTATTATAATTCAAAAATAATAATATGAATATTATAAAATAATATTAAACATTTATTTATTAATATTAAATAACTAAATTTGTAATTATTATTATTATTATTATTATTCATTTTATTTGCCGGTATTAAAAAGGAAAGCACCAAGTTTTCATCAAAATACGAAAAAAAAGGATTATGAAATAATATTACTTATTTATTAATTTGAAATATCTTTATTTATTTATTTATGATTGTTTGCTTGTTTGTTTGTCAGTGTTGAGAAGGAAAGGATCACTTATGGTTTTGATCAATTTATTTATCATCATCATCATATTATTATTATTATTATTATTATTAAATTGTCCAATTTTAAGAAGAAAAGCCCCACTTATGTTTTATGAAAAAAATATAACTAGTTTTTATGTTATATAATGTTATATGATTGTAAAATGTTAATAATAATAAAAAGTTATTGTTATCATAATGTTTATAATAATAATAATAATAGTTTATTATTATTATTTATTCATTTTATTTGACAGTATTGAAAAGGAAAGTACCACATTTTCATCAAAATACGAACAAATATAAATTATAAGATAATATTAAATATTTATTTATTCATTTTAAATAAACATATTTACTTACTTATTTATTTGTTTTGTTTGCTTGCCAGTGTTAAGAAGGAAAGGCCCACTTATGTTTTTGATCAAAAAGGAAAAGATTATATAATTCTAAAATATTTATCATCATCATCTTATTATTATTTTGTTATTGTCCAGTTTTAAGAAGGAAAGCACCACTTATGTTTTCTTCATAAAATATAACAAAAAGTTATTTTAAAAATGTTATAGAACTGCAAAATGTTAAAAATAACAAAAATAATAGTTTATTCTTATTCTTCTCATTATTATGATATCAATTGGAGATCATACTTTGGCTTCCACAGGTGTGTGAACATTCTGACCAGGTGGACCACTCTGTAATCAGGCAATTAACGGGGCAGCCCACCTCACAGGGGGCAGAGAGCTTTCCACGCGAAGGACCCAACTAAAAAAAAAGAGAAGAAAACAATAAAATGGATTCCCATTAGAGCTTTTGTTGAGAAAGAATCCCAGGGAGAAAAGAACAGTCACCTCTTTGCACGTGCTCAGTTCCACCATCTTCCCGTCGCTGCGGACACAGTTCAGGAGTCTGGTCTTAATCCCACGGCCGCATACTGCATTTTCACTGAGCTGACAGCTGCTCCAGTCTTCACAACATATACACACATAATTCACTTCACTCCATAACATGGACAGACTACATTTTACAGTCTTTCAATTGTGCAAGTGTAAATGCTTGTAACAGTACCTGAGTAAACGTAGGCGTATTTGAGACAGGTCATATTGATACAGGCTTGAGTCTGGTTTAGATCAGGGCAGGTATGATCTCCTTCTGGCCACCTCAAGACACTTCTACTCCTCCACCTCAAATCACCCTCATTACAATCCTGGAGGAACGCAGGCATGAATCACACATGCAAATACACCAATACACAATCTTAAATACAGTGCCTTGTGAAAGTATTCATAGCCCTTCATTTTTTTCACATTTTGTTATGTTGCTGCCTTACGTTAAACTGCTTTAAATTACTTTTTTTTTCTTTACAGTATACAGTATATCAATCTACACTCCATACACCATAATGGTAAAGCAAAAAACTTTTTTTTATTTATTTTAATTTATACATACACTGTATATATCCTAATGGGGACTTCGCATTCACTGTGTTTACAGTAATGCATTTACAACACAAGTCTAAGGGACAAGTCATTCTGGAAAATTTCAAAGCAGAAATTCATAACTTATTTTGGTAAAGCACTTCTGTTAAGTGTGTTATTTGTGCTGCAAAGAAACATTCCCTTAATATAAGCAATGCAGATTTTGGCATTTTTAGAATTTTTTATGAATTAAGATGATTTAATCATTAATGAAGTCCTTTCTTGTAGGGACTCTCAACAGTCTATCATCTAAGAGGAAGATGAGGTCTTTTTCTATTCTCCCGATTCTAAAAACTTAGATTTTTTTTTACCCATCCTGTATTTTAGCACTACTGAATCATTTTGGTAAATCCACTGCAATATCGTATATTTACTAAGGCATTTGGACATTTTATTATCCATTCATCCATCAGTCAAACTGACCACGGTACATTTGGTCCACTGGCTCCACTCTGATGTCACACAGTGGGCGGGGCACGGCAGTAGACAGGTCTCGACTGTGATTGGCTTTTCCTCCTGGTCACACAGTGAGTCATCCACAACCTCATCCTGGTTTTCTCCTCCCCTTTTCAAGCAGCTTCAGGTCGGAGACAAACAAATGTTATCTTTTATCGTTTAAACTGAACCATTACGAGCCTAAAATTCAGACGTCTAGGCACCTCCTAAGCAAAGAAAATCAGGGTGAGAGCGCAAATTCAACCAGAAAACGTTGTTGTTTAGTTATAACATTACCCATGGTTTCCGTGAACTCACTTTAGTCTGAAGGGCAGAATTACGACCTTACTTCTCTTTAAGAAGCAGAGTTATGACCCCATGAATCTGTTTGGCACTGTTGTGACCTCTCCTCGGTTTTGAACGCTGACTTATGAGACAATTTTGCTGTGTGACACACACAGGATCTGTTTTATCATTGTACCATGGAGGTAAAACACAATATATTGTGCTGCTGTTCTCTGGCAGAATGGGGACATTTTAAAAGACACTCTTTTAAACTTTTTTTGATGACTTCTGAGATTATTTGCTTATTTAAAGGCTCTCTGTGATGAGCTCACCGGATTTTGCCGGTCCGGAAGCCCTCTCCGCACACAGGCTGGGGCGGTTCAGCGTTCGTGAGATTGTTTGGTGGGTTTAGCACACACATGGACCAGGACTCCACTTCCCACACATACTGACTGCAGTCAGAGTAACAGGGCAGTACCTCAGACACCTGCTCACAGACAAGATAGCTATGTTTTTATTTATGGCGGCATGCACTCAAGTGTGTGTTTTGTGTGTCTCTGTGTACACAAGAATATACAGAAAAAATACAGCATGCAAATGGTTATACAAGCAGACATATACACTTAAAGACAAAATATTATAAACACATTCACACATGAAAACATAATTCTCTAGTGTACTCACCTGAGCCTTTGTATATATTCAAATCAGCAGAACATGATCAGCAGCAAAACCACAAAAGGTTTGGAAAGACGTGGAAAGGAAAAGTAAAGCAAATCAATGAAAAGCGAGGAAAGGAAAAGGAAATAAAAAGGAATTCAAAGAATGGGGAAAGGGGAAATGGAATGGATGCAGGAAGGAAATGATATAAAAGGAAGAGGAAAATTAATGGGGAAAAGAAAAGAAGAAAGAAAAGGGAAAGGAAAAGGACATCGGAAAGGAAATGAAAAGAAACGGGGAAATGAAAGGAGTGGGAAGGGGAAATACAGCAAACGAAGCAAATGAACAAGGAAAGAACGGGAATTAAACAAATATGGAAATGGAAAGGAAACAAAAGTGAAAGGAAATGGAATGTATAGAAAGAAAAGGAATTGAACGGGAGAGAGAAAATGAAAGTAATAGGGAAAGAAAAGAAAACAAAGATGGAACAGGAAAAAGGGAAGGAAAGGGTAAATGAAAAAGGGAAGGGAAAGTAAAGCAAAGCAAATGAATAAGGAATAAAAAGAAAAAAGGAAAGGAAAGGGAAAGAAATTTAATAAGTAAAGAAACGGAAAGGAAGTGGAAAAAGGAAAGCAATAGCAAAAGAAGGGAAAGGAAATTAAAAGAAAGAAAGAAAACAGAAAGAAATGTGAAAGCAGAGGAGGAGGAAGAGGAAAGTAAAAGTAATGTAAAAGAAAGTAAACAAAGATGGAATAGGAAAAAGGGAAAGAAAGGGGGAAAAGAATAGCGGAAAGGGACAGAAAAAGAAAGGAAAGATTTTCCATTAGTTTCTATTAGAACATGTTTGCCCCAACCATAGAGTTGATTTAGTTATTTAGTGCTTCATTTATATGAGAGAAACTGAGCTGAAGGAAATGCTTGCTGACTCCACTTCAGACAGATGAAACTTTAATGTTTCTTGACCTGCCCTGATGGAATATAAAATAAAGAGAGTGAAATAAAAGGAAAAAAGAGCCAAAAGCAGGGGGGATAAGAGGTTCAGTCCCTGGAGGTCTTGATCCTCTCCAGTCTTGTCTTACTATAACAGAATGTGGTTGAGAAACATTGTGGAAACTGGGAACTGGGAAGCCTGGGGAAGACCCTCAAAGCCAGGCCAAATGAATAATTAATTATACAGTAGGTTTACACACACTGCCTTGTCCTCTGTGACTCCAAAACACAGATGAAGATACAGTACTTATGAATTTATGAACACATATAATTTAAGCATACAAGTGTGGGCATGTATAATTTCACAGCAGGTGATTTTCCTCGAGGCTAATTTAAATAGACTCAACAGCTCTATTATCAATAATAGCTAAAGGTCTCTGGATATTTTAAGTTCTCAGAACAACTCAGGTCTTATTTGGACTAATTAGTTTCTTCATTTCTTACAAGATCAATGAAGTAGAAGTTGAAGTGAATCATTCTCACCTGATTTTTGTAATTGAGTTTTGGGCAGGGTCGACCTCCATTGAAAGGCTTCTCTCGTAGCCACTGAGAGCGAACTTTTACACCCCCACCACAGGAGGCGCTGCAGGCGGACCAATTCGACCACTCACTCAGCTTACAGTCCGTAGAACAGGGTACATGACATGATTCCTCTTCAAATCCTGTAACAGCATACACTTCCTTAGAGATACAGTACATGGAATATACAATATAAATGATAATACCACAAAAAAGTTACAAAAAGTTAAAAAGAACAGCACTTATTCAAAATAGAAATATTTTCTAACAATATAAGTCTTTAATATCACTTTTTATTCATTTAACACACCCTTGCTGAATAAAAGTATTAATTTTTTTTTTTTAAAATATTACTGACTTTTGAATAGTAGTGTATATTGTAACACAAAATGTCTATTTTGAATAAACACTGTTCTTTTAACTTTTTATTTATCAAAGAATCCTGAAAAAAAAAATCACAGGTCTCAAGAAATAGAAATAGAAACAGCACAACTGTTTCCAACACTGATCATAAATCAGTATATTGGAATGATTTTTGAAGGATCATGTGGCATTGAAGACTGGAGTAATGATGCTGAAAATTCAGCTGTGCTTCACAGGAATGACTTATATTTTAAAATATATTAAAACAGAAAACTGCCATTTTAAATTGTAATAATATTTCACAAAATTAAATTTTTTTTCAGTATTTTTATCAAATAGACACAGCTTTGATGACCATAAGAAACTTCGGTAACACTTTCTATGAAGCCCATGCTTATAATGATTTATAGCCCCCTTTATAATTATTTATAGGTAAGTATTACTACTCTATAAATATATTTATAAAGACACAACAACACCTATACCCGCATTATAAGGACACTTATAGTTACATTTATAATATTGTTATTAATACTTATTAAAAATCTTTTGACAGCAGTGTAAGTCTTCAGATCCTTTGCCAAGTAATAACTAATCAGTTTTTTGCTTTGTCATCATGGGGCATGGAGTATAGATTGATTAAAAAATATAATAATTTAAAGGTAATTTAGCCTAAATAATTTACACACTATCCACCCACCCCCCCCCCCCACACACACACACACACACACACACACACACACACACACATATATATATATATATATATATATATATATATATATATATATATATATATTCTTCATTAAAAATAATTTTATTATAGATTTTTGAAAGAAAGCATCACCAGGGCTGCTGCAGAGAGCTGGCTCCACCAATCGTCCCATGTGATCTAGACAGGCAAGAGCTCTGAAACGCTTTCCGTGCCCACACTCGCTGTTCTTCCTCTGAGCTCGCCAGCCCTGGACTGCTTTTTGGCTTTGGTGGGAAACTCCTTGGATGAAAGGATGGCCAGCAATGTTCTTTGCTGGTGAGAGCAAACAAGGAGACCAGGGACCCTGAGGCTGGGTGTGATATTCAGAACAAGGACAGGCTTCTTTCTCCATCAGAGGAAACGACTCCTCCTGTTGGCATCTCCAGTGCTTCTTACTACGACCTGAGAGTTTGAATGAAAGAGGACCTTGGATGGTGCGTGTGCTTTCGGAAAACATTTTGATAATTAGAATAGTTTATGGTTGAACATGTTACCTATCAGAGATCGGGAACGAGTGCGCCAACTTCCACAACCTTGACACAGGCTGAATCTGCTCCAGGACGTGAAGCTACATTCATCTCTGCATGGCATACGGCATTCCCTCACCGGGACGGGCATCAGTCCAACCCACCTCACACAGTCTGTCATATCTGCTGGAGAATCATCCGCACCAACACACGTTACCTCTGAAAACATGACAGAGAGGAAAAATATGTTAAATAATAGCTATAGTGCTCTAAGTAAAATACCATTTTTGGACACTTTTGACAGATTGTCATTTTTGAGTGAACTATCCCTTAAATATAGTGGCCAAGCAGTGCACAACCCAATGAAATCTCCACAACACAATAAAATCACCACAACACAATGCATACGACAAATTTTGTTGTGTTGCAGCTTGTTTCCATTGTGATGCGGCTTCTTTCCGTTGTGTTGCGATTTTTTTCCATTGTGTTGCGACTTGTTTCTGTTGTGTTGCGGCTTGTTTCCGTTGTGTTGCGACTTGTTTCCGTTGTGTTGCGACTTGTTTCCGTTGTGTTGAGCTTGTTTCCATTGTGTTGCGGCTTGTTTCCGTTGTGTTGCAACTTGTTTCCGTTGTGTTGAGCTTGTTTCCATTATGTTGCGGCTTGTTTCCGTTGTGTTGCGGCTTGTTTCATTGTGTTGCGGCTTGTTTCCGTTGTGTTGAGCTTGTTTCCATTGTGTTGCGGCTTGTTTCCGTTGTGTTGAGCTTGTTTCCATTGTGTTGCGGCTTGTTTCCGTTGTGTTGAGCTTGTTTCCATTGTGTTGCGGCTTGTTTCCGTTGTGTTGAGCTTGTTTCCATTGTGTTGCGGCTTGTTTCCGTTGTGTTGCGGCTTGTTTCCGTTGTGTTGCGGCTTGTTTCCGTTGTGTTGCGGCTTGTTTCCGTTGTGTTGCGGCTTGTTTCCGTTGTGTTGCGGCTTGTTTCCGTTGTGTTGCGGCTTGTTTCCGTTGTGTTGCG